AGGCCACAGAGCACCTCACCAAAAAAAAAAAAAAAAAAGACAAATAGAAATTGAGACAGGCTTTCGCTCTGTTACCCAGGCTAGAGTGGAATGGTGTGATCACAACTCACTACAGCCTCAACCTGGTGGGCTCAAAGAATTCTCCTGCCTCAACTTCCTGAGGAGCTGTGACTACAGGTGCATGCCAAGATGGCTGTCTAATTTTTGTATTTTTTGTAAAGACTGGGTTTCATTTTGTTGGCTCAGACTGGTCTCAATCTCCTGGGCTCAAGCTATCCACCCACCTCAACTTCCCAAGGTACTTGGATTGCAGACATGAGCCACTGCATAAGGCCAAATTGGCAAATCTTTAGCAAGGCTGACTCAAAAAGAAAGAGAGAGGCTGGGTGCTATGGCTTACCCCTGTAATCCTAGCAGTTTGGGAGGCTGAGGCAGATGTATCACTTGAGCTCAGGAGTTCAAGACCAGCCTGGGCAACATAGCAAAAACCCAATGTCGCCTCTACAAAAAATACAAAAATTAGCCAGGCATGGTGGTGTGTGTGTGTAGTCCTGGCTACTTGGGAGGCTGAGGTGGAAAGATCCCGTAAACCCCGGAGGATCCCATAAACCTGGGAGGCGGAGGTTGCAGTCAGCCTAGATCGCGCCACTGCACTCCAGGCTGAGTGAGACTCTGTCTCAAAAAATATATATATTTATTTTTATAGAGACACCGTTTCACTATATTGCCCAGGCTAGACTTGAACTCCTGGGCTCAAGTGATTCTCCAGCCTCAGCCCTCCCAAAGTGCTGGGATTACAGGTGTGAACCACTGTGCTTACCCCATAAATTCTTAATATCAGGAATAAAACAGAAGCTATCATTGCAGACCCTGCAGATATCAATAGTTTAATAAGGGAATTTTATAAACAATGTTACAAATATACATTTGACAACTTAAATGAAATGAATTAATTCCTTAAAAAAATAAAAACTACCACAACACACCTGATATGAAATAATTGCAGTAGCTTTATAACTATTAAGGACATTGAATTCGTAATTTAAAACTCCCACCCCCAAGAAATCTTCACCCCAGATGGTTTCAGTGGAGAATTCTATCAAACGTTTAAAGAAGAATTAACACCAATTCTACAAATCTGATCCAGAAAATAGAAGAGATGAAGCATTTAAGTCATTTTATAAGGTGCATCTTACTCATATCAAAACCAGACAAAGAAAATACAAAAAAGATGACTACAGACCAATGACCGTCAATAAGAACACAGATACAAAAATCATTAACAAAACATTAGCAAATAGGCTGGGGATGGTGCCTCATGCCTGTAATCCCAGTACTTTGGGAGGCTGAAGCGGATAGATCACAAGAGATCAGGAGTTCGAGACCAGCCTGACCAACATGTGAAACCCGTCTCTACTAAAAATTAAAAAAATTAACCAGGCGTGCCTGGGAGGCTACTCCAGAGGCTGAGGCAAGAGAATCACTTAGAACCTAGGAGGTGGAGGTTTCAGTGAGCTGAGATTGCGCCACTGCACTCCAGCCAGAGCGACAGAGTGAGACTCTGTCTCAAAAAAATAAAAATAAAAAAAATAAAAAAATAAAATAAACAAATAGAATTCAGCAACTTATAAAAAGAATTATATACTATGACCATGTGCGGATTATTCCAGGGATGCAAGGCTGATTAAATATTCAAAAATCAATCAATGTTATTCACCCTGTTAACAGGCTAAAGAAAAATCAACTGACAGAAAAAAGACAGGAAAAAAAAATCAATTGACAGACAAAATTCAATACCTATTCATAATATAAACTCTCAGAAAACTAGAAATAAAAGGGAATTTTCTCAATTGGATAAAGAGCATCTACAAAAAAACCTACAACTAACATTGTACTTCACAGTGAAAGACTGAATGCTTTCCCCCTGGCTGAATACAAGGCAAGCAAGTCCACTTTCACCAATCTTATTCAACACAGTGCTGGAAATTATAGTCTGTGTAATAAGGATAGCAAAAGAATTTTAAAAGCATACATATTGGGCTGGGCGCGGTGGCTCAGCCCTGTAATCCCAGCACTTTGGGAAGCTGAGGTGGACGGATCACGAGGTCAGAAGTTCAAGAACTGCTTGAACCAGGACCCCGGAGGGGGAGGTTGCAGTGAGCTGAGATTGTGCCACTGCACTCCAGCCTGGGCCACAGAGCAAGACTCCATCTCAAAAAAAAAAATTTAGCCTGGCATGGTGGTGCACACCTGTAATCCCAGCTACTTGGGAGGCTGAGATAGAATTGCTTGAACCCAGGAGGTGGAGGCTGCAGTGAGCTGAGATCATGACACTGTACTCCAGCCTGGGCGGCAGAGTGAGACTCCATCTCAAAAAGTAATAATAATAATTTTTTAAAAAGTGAGAATACCACATGCTAGAGTATGTGGACAATTGAATTTTTCATACTGTTAGGAATGTAAAGTGGGACAGCCACTCTGAAAGCTAATCTGGTATTTTCTTTATTTTTTTTTTTAAGAGAGGAAAACTTGAAGTGCTCTGGTGCCATCATAGCTTACTGCAGCGTCCAACTCCTGCGCTCCAGCAATCCTTCCACCTCAGCCCCCTGAGTAGCTGGGACTAGAGGTGTGCACCCCAAAGTCCGGCTAACCTTTTAATTTTTTTTTTTTTTTTTTTTTTTT